TACCTCTTTAGTTAAGTTTATTCCCAGGTAGCTTAATTTTTTTGGTGCGATGGTAAACGGGATTGTTTTTATAATCTCTCTTTCTGAAAGTTCACTATTGGTGTATAGAAATGCCTCGGATTTCTTGGGGTTAATTTTGTGTCCTGCTACATTGCCAAATTCATGTATTAAGTCTAGTAGCTTTTTGATGGAGTCTCTAGGGTTTTGTATGTATAATATCATGTCGTCTGCAAATAAGGACAGTTTTACTTCCTCTTTTCCAATTTGGATGCCTTTTATTTCTTCTTCTTGCCGAATTGCAATGGCTAACACTTCCAGTACTATGTTGGACAGGAGTGGTGAGAGGGGGCATCCCTGTCTTGTTCCTGTTCTTAGGGGAAATGGTGTTAGTTTTTGTCCATTGAGTATGATGTTGGCTGTGGGCCTGTCATATATGGCTTTTATTATGTTGAGGTATGATCCTTCTACTCCCACCTTGCTGAGAGCTTTTATCAAAAATGGGTGTTGAATTTTGTCAAATGCTTTTTCTGCATCAATTGATATGACCATGTGGTTTTTTTCTTTCAATTTGTTTATGTGATGTATCACGTTTATTGATTTGCGGATATTGTACCATCCTTGCATCCCTGGGATAAATCCTACTTGGTCATGGTGTATGATCTTTCTGATGTACTGCTGGATCCGATTTGCTAAGATTTTGTTGAGGATTTTGGCATCTATGTTCATGAGGGATATTGGCCTGTAATTCTCTTTCATTGTGTTGTCTTTACCTGGTTTTGGTATTAGGGTGATGCTGGCTTCATAGAATGAGCTTGGAAGTGTTCCTTCCTCTTGAATTTTTTGTAGTAGTCTGAGGAGGATAGGTTTTAGTTCTTCCTTGAATGTTTGGTAAAACTCCCCTGTGAAGCCGTCTGGTCCTGGGCTTTTGTTTGCTGGAAGCTTTTTGATGACTGCTTCAATTTCTTCCATAGTTATTGGCCTGTTGAGATTTTTAGATTCTTCCTGATTGAGTTTTGGAATGTTGTATTTTTCTAGGAATTTGTCCATTTCCTCCAGGTTGTCTAGTTTGTTGGAGTAGAGCTGTCCATAGTATTTTTTAACAATCATTTGTATGGTTTCTTCCTATTAGCTTAGATTTCTACCTAAGAAGTCTATTTCTAACTAGGTAATTTGCCATTACCTTCTACTCACTAGTAATTGAAAATTGTTCAAGGCCATTAGTTAATTGATCACAAATAGATCACATATTATCAATGAGAATATTTTCATCTGTGTGCACGACACCTCTGTTATCAGATTACCAGTCAGCTCTTATCTGCACTTACTCACACCACTTCAATAACTTCCCCGTCACGCAAAGAATGAATGATAGATGAATCACAGAGTTCAACGTTTTTCTGCTATCAGCTCCTCTAACTTATTTGCCCTTTTGGCTGATAAACATTTTGTGCAAGAATAAAGTTTGACATCATCATCTCTTCATTAGTTGCCAAAAAGTCTTCAAAGCCCCTATGAGCAGGCTCATTTTTCAACCATCGTAGACAGAGTCTGTGCCAACCCCTTGAGAAGGTTGATTGGTCAGCATCATTCCAAACATTGGCAACTGTGGAAATGACATTCTGAAGACTGAACTCTTTCGGGAGTCATGGAATCCTATGCCCTGTGATTGTAGCAAGCACACAGTCTGAAATAAGTGTTTATCCTTGCTCTACAGTTATGTGTACTCAGGCTGTAATACACATATCCCACTGGGGAGAAAGAAAAGCTGAAATCCTGCTTTTCACATGAAGTTCAGGAAGGAGGTGTACATAGCAATTTTCCAGGAATGATAATATCTTATAACGGGTATGTATTTTTCAGTCCGGAATGCCTGCAGTGAGTCTGCACCAGTGATACAAAATGACTATTAACTGGTCAGAAAGCATTTCCCGGGTTACTCAGGCTGACTTGTTTGCATAACAGTGGACAGTAAATTGCAAACGCCCTTCAAGATGGCAAATGTTGGCTTGTTCCAGGTAGTTCCACACCTATCCTGTGTGTACCTGCGGCACTTGGCACACCAAGAACAGTCAGCAGGGTGGAGCCGATTGGTGGGCCTCATCAGCCATCTGCGGAGCAGAATTATTCCCACAGCTGATTGTTCATGTCAAAGTTTTCATCAGATAATATCATAGCAAACCCACTGATGCAATGTTCAGCAGCCTCTGCCTGAGGCTAAAACCAACAGTAGTTAGCATATTAATGCAAAAAGACCCATTGGAAGGCCAATGGACTTTGATATTCAGGAGGGCTGAAAATCAGCATAATATTGCCCTGCTGTGGGCTCAATGGCTCAAGGCAATTCCTTAACTCAGTGGTAGGCAAGCTGCGGCTTGCAAGCCACATGAGGCTCTTTGGCCCCTTGCGTGTGGCCATGAAGTTTCAATCACACTGTACGTGCGTGCCCGCACGTGGTATTTTGTAGAAGAGCCACACTCAAGGGGCCGCAGTTTGCTGACCACTGCCCTAACCTGATAATCCTTTTACTGTTTACCAAACTTTACCTGTGATATGCCTGTATGCATTGCTAAAGGGCAAATGTGTACTCAAGTGATTAAAAGCAGACGGAACCCAGTTTCGGTGTACTCTTCATGAAAGAGACACCCCTGGTCCCCAATGCCTTCTAAATTCATATTTCTTATATAGCATTTTCATTTGTGCGTGGGCCCCTCCTTCAGATCCTCAACCCCCACCGCAAAAGGTTGCAGCAGCCTCATTATCAGCAAAATCTTTTTCACCTCCGATGTTGACATTGTCTTATTTCAGTTATACATAAAGTAAAAAATTATTCTCCAAAAGCAACAACAACAAAAGTGTGCAAGTGTGGCTGGTAAGGCTAACTATTCAGCTCAGGGTCAAGAACTGCCTCTAAATGAGTTTTGGTGCCAAGTTTACACAAAAATAGACTGGGAGTCTCATAGGCTCACCCAGCCCCCACCAAGCTGTCTTTTGCTTAGTAGTTGGCAGAAATATCTTTTTCTATGCCTTTACTTTCAGTGTTTCCATGTCTTTAGAGTTTATGTGTCTCTCATGTGTATGACACTTACATGGACTTGTGTTTTTTAAACTCAATCTGGCATTATTTGGTGCATTGAGTCTACATGTGTTTACATTACCAAAATTATTGATATACTAGTAGCCCTGCGCACGAATCTGTGCACTTGTAGCTCGCTGCCCCGCCCTCCTGTAGCTCTCTGCTGCTTGTAGATTGGTTGTGATGTTACAGCATCCTGGCTAATTTGCATATTCTTCTATTATTATATTAGATTTGTACTTACTTTTACCAACTAATCTTTTGAATCCTACTTCTTTTTCCTTCTCTCAACACTTTTTAATTGATTTCTTTTTTCTTATCAATTCTTATTTAAATATTAAGAAATACATATGTTCCGTTTCTATTCTTTTCATGATTTTTATTGAATTTTACCATGCACATTTAATTTGGCAAAGTCTAATAGCCAACTCTGCTTATGAACAGCATAAACACCTTAGAATACTGTTGCACCCGTGTTGGGTCTGCCAGGCAGGCAGTCAAAAAATAGAAGATGCACATGAAGTGAGAGAAGCAAAGACAACTGGAACCTGCATGTCTGAGCTGGAACCATAAGGACAGACTCTAAGTAACCATGTCAGTTTCTCACCACCCCCAAGGCTCCAGTGGAGGTTACCTGCAGAAGAAACTGGTGCCCTTTGCTGTGAAGCTAAACACATGACTGGCCCAAGAGAAGTAGAAACCATAAGAGCTGGGACCTGATATCAGGATTTTACTGAGAAATCTGCTAGTCTTATAAGGCTCTTCTTTTGCAGTGATGTCAACTTCATCTGAGTGCTCTGAAGATCTTCTCTTTGACTTTTGTGTTCTGAAGTTTTAGAATGTGAACCATCAGATAAGCAACAATGTGCATGAGCTGAAACAGCATCTCTTATCTGAACCAAAAAGAAGTTGGCTGCTGCTTCACAATTGCCTTCTAAATCTGTTACAAAATGTCTCTGATCACCCATGCTATCTGGATCCATACAGGAAAGAAAATTCTTGGAAATCTAGTTCAGCCAGGCTAAGTCAACACAACACAAATCCACCGCAATGCTTACCATTGTCTTTGCTTATCCTTTGTTCTTACATCTCAGACTATTCTTCAAGGACCACATTCTTTCTTCTTGAAGAATGTGCTTTAAAGATGCTTTTAGTTCAGATATCTTGGTGGCAAGTTCTCAGTTTTTATCTGTACATACCTTTGTTTCACCCTCACTAATGAAAGATGATATAGTTCTTGATTGAGAGTTATTTTGGCTCCAAAATTTGAAACTATAATAATATTGACTCTGGCTTCCATGGATGCTGTTGAGAAAACTGCTTACCATTTTAATTGTTATTTTTGTAGTGATCTCAACTTTTTCTAACTGTTTTTAATATCTTCTCTTTGACTTTGGTGTTTTGTTGTTTTAAAACGTTGTAGCCAGCATTGTACCACTTTTTATTTGTCCTGTATACCCAGGCATGCCTCTTGTATCCATGGATTTAAGTTTTTCATTACTTTTGAAATATTATATCTGCCATCTATTTAATGTTGCTTCTTCTTTGCTCTCTATATTTTCTCATTCTGAGATTTTGATTTTTAAACACTCTCATTCTGTTGCTCGTATCTCTTAACTTAATAATTTTCATATTCTCCAACTACTTGTTTCTCTGTGTTATATTTTGGGTAATTTCTTTGGTTTTATCTTCCAATTCACCACTTTTTTCATCACCTGTGTGTAATTTACTATCTAACTCGTTCACTGAGTTTGCTGTTTCAACAGGTTTACATACACACACTTAAAACTATACATATGTATATGTATAGCTATATATATGCATATATATGTACATATGTATACATATATATATACACATATACATATATATGTGTACATATTCTATCTTTCTTTCATAAATTTGCCTGGTCATTCTCTTTAGCTTGTTCATTGTTATGATTTTATTCTTTATTTTTTTAAACATTTTAGTCATGTAGTTCAATAATCCATAATCCCTGGGACCCTAAAGCTATTGTTTGTTGTCACTACCTATTTTCTTTATATATATATATATATATTTCAGAGGGAGAGAGAGATAGAAACATCAATGATGAGAGAGAATCATTGGTATGCTGCCTCCTGCACGTCCCCCACTGGGGATAGAGTCTGCAACCCAGACATGTGCCCTTGACCGTAATCTAACCCAGGACCCTTCTGTCCTCACTGCCTATTTCATTCATTCAGAGATTTGCTGATCTTTGACAACGAGTCTTTTGCTTCATCTCAATTTGAGTGACTCCCGTCATCCCAAACTGAGGATACTTTACTCCAGGAGGGACTCCTTTCTGCTTTTGCTTGAACTCAGTAATGCCACTCTCTCAGGATCACCTTATCCCTCATCCCCAAGGCCTTGACCTCCCACAAGAGGCCCTGGTCCAGCCTCCCCACCTCATGGACATCCCCAGGACTCAGTATTCTACCAGCAGCATTGCCTGTGCATTTCAGGACAATCTCAAAATTGGGGCCAAGTGGATTCTGGCCCCAGCTCTGACTATGGTGGGCAGGGGGGAGATTGGGGGGTCATTGGAGAACCCCACCACTTCTTGCAAGGCTCATAGTTCTTTGAAGCGTGTGCCTTATCTAGGGCCTAGTTGTTCTGCAGCGGTTGGAGCTGTCCATGAATCTGGCCAAGCAACACGTTAGAAGCCAAACCACAGGATTTGTGTGAGCAGACGTGGCAAGGTCTGTTTAATTTTTCTTAAAGGGACGTTTCGTCAGGTGTCCCCTCCCGGCCCGGGGACACCATCGGTCAGGGGACTGTGTTGTAGACCTTGTAGTCATCCTCCTGGGTGATGTGCAGCTTCCAGGGGAAGAGGCGCTTCTGGGAGGGGAGCGCTTGGGCCTGCTTCACCATGAGCCGCACATCCTCATCTGAGAGCAGCCGAACCAGGTCCCCGTCAGCGTCCCGGTAATTTAAGCTGATGTCCTCCCTCTGGAACTCCTGCCTGGGTGGGAAAGATCAGGGTGAACGACAGGGCCAGCAGCCTTAGGCCTAAGCATGGGGGCTGAGAGTGAGGCCGAGGGAATTCTTCTGGTCCTGAAAATCAGAAGAAGTCGGAGCTTGACACAGGCCTCCTCACCTGAGTGGTCCAACCTCCCACTGTACAGATAGAGAAAGTGAGGCCCACGGGGGAGGGAGGAGACTTTCCCATTAAATTAGTGGCACAGCCTGAAATGTCTTGTGTATAAATGTGTTGAACACCCAAGACCTGTCATGCGGAAGAGGAGTGGGTTGGCAGGTACATAGTAGAGCAGAATAGAGCCCAAGAGGCACCCGTGTGAAGCGGCTGAGGACCTGATGGGTACCGGGGGCTGGGCACTCTGACTGACAGGCAAACACCTTGATCCCCAGTTCCACTCCTAGAAAATCATCCTAAGGAAATTATCAGGCAAGTCACCAAAGCTGTGATCACAACATTACGCCTGGTGGTGAAAAGGCGGAGGATAACTTAAGAGGCCTTAAAACAGCGGTTCTCAACCTGTGGGTCGCGACCCCTTTGGGGGTCGAACGACCCTTTCACAGGGGTCGCCTAAGACCATCGGAAAACACATATATAATTACATCTTGTTTTTGTGATTCATCACTATGCTTTAATTATGTTCAATTTGTAACAATGAAATTGGGGGCCACCACAACGTGAGGAACTGTATTAAAGGGTCACGGCATTAGGAAGGTTGCGAACCACTGCCTTAAAAGAAGGGGGTGGCCACAGTAATTAATACTGTGCAGCCAATTCTTTATGTGGGGGCGGGATGGGGTGTGTGCTGAAGAAATCTGAGCGTACATCAAATAATGAGAGGAGGGAAAATATGAGGTGGTTTCACTAGTTTATACTTTTCTGGGATTTTTGACATTCTTAAAAAAATAATGAACAGGTATGACGTTTATAGCCAGGAAGGTAGCAAGGCGATTAAAGTAACTGCCCTAACTGATCTGGATCTTGGGAGACGGTAGTTCCCTGATGGTGCAGGATCCAAGTTCAAGATTTTCACCGAAAGAGACTTTAGCGCCAGCTGCAAAGCCACACTCACAAACTGTGTGACCTCATCCAAGCCCCTTTGCCTTTCTGCAGCCCCCCACACATCTCTAACACAGGGAGCTGACACCCAACCTGCAGGGCTGGGCCGTGCTTAAAACAAGAAAGCAAAATAGATGCAGATAGCACCGAAGGCATTGTGTTTCCCCTTCTGATCTCTCCTCCAGGGTCTGTGACCCATTCCTCCGCCCCGTCCTCTCCCGACCCAACCTGCCCCTCACCTCATGAGCTTCAGCAGGTCCCTGAAGAGCGGGGTGCTACTGATGTCTTCCTCCACTGCGATGTCCCTGAGGGGGCAACCGGCATCGGTGAGAGGCACTGGGCCCGGATGGGGACCTGGGGATGAGGCTGGCCAGGCCACGATGGGCCCTGACACCCCGTTATGGCTTATCCGGGGGACAGTCAGGGCCACTGCGGGCTTGAAGTGTGTGCATGGGGGTGGGGCAACGTAGTGTCTGATGTGGGTCTCACGGTCCAGTATGTGATCGGGAGGTGGGAGTGGGGATGGCCAAGGAGTGTGGGCCGGGCCCTCCCCCAGGCCACGCACTTGATGGTGCTGATGGTGTCCTCATAGTAATAGCAGCGCAGCCAGTTGGTGGGGTCGTCTTCCTCAGGGAAGTCCTTGAGGATCTTCACGAAAGACCGTGGGAAGATGCCAGTGGCTCCCCGGACAGTGCCCTGAGGAGGAAGGAAAAGGCCGCCTCGTCTGCGTGAAGAAGGGCAGCAGGGCCACGCCTCGGGGCCCCCAGCGCCTTCGTCATGACCAGCAAAGGCGGCAGAGTTTGGGTTCCCTTCTGGAGAGGGAGGCAAGGTGACCAAGGTCACCGAGCTGTACATCTAAGAAGAGTTTCCTTTCTGCTGTCATCTTTCATCCATCCACCCATTCACTCACTCGTTCATTCACAGATTCCCTGAGCACCAGCTACATGGCTGAGACTCCGGCACTGAGAGTGGATGACAGTCCTGGCCTTCCCTCACGGAACCCCCACTATAATGGAAAGCGACACGTGCAGGTAAATAGTGAACTTCGTATAGAATCAGGTGTTAACGTGGAAGACAGAACAGAGAGGGAGAAGGAGGAGTGGTTCCCACTCATTCATTCATTCATTCATTCATCCCACAGATCCCACCGAACACCCACATGAGACGCAACAGCCAGCCGTCTCCCTCTCCAGCCCAGGCTCCCGCCTAAGCGTCCCCAAGACCCAGCCACTGCCTGTGCTTTGCACACGTGTCCTCCTGGCCCTCCCAACCCTGGGGGAGACATGGTTTATGTCCATCTTACAGACGGAGAAGCAGAAGCTCCACGTAATCTCCTCACTTCTCCCCGAGTCTCCCCTTCACCCGAGGCCAGAAGTTAGCAAGCACACTGAGGCAAAGAACTCTCCCGAAAACAGGAAGGCCACACACATGCCCCGTTTCCGGAGCGTGGCCCAGCCGTACCCCTCGGGCTGCTGTCAGAGCTGAGGACCGTCTAACTCAGACTTCCAGGACGGGGGTAACATCAAAACCACCAAGACTAATGGTTCTGCTCCTCTGCAGCCGGAATGCTGGGCCCCTCCCCTGCCCTCCATGCTCCCCTCGGGGCCTGTCCCACATCAGCCTTCAGACACCACTGCCCAGGAGCCCTGAGAGAAAGGAATCTTATTTAAGAATAACAGGACCAGCCCGGTCGGTGTGGCTCAGTGGTTGAGCGTCATCCTAGGAACCAGGAGATCACGGTTCGATTCCTGGTCAGGGCACATGCCCGGGTTGTGGGCTTGATCCCCGGAGGAAGTATGCAAGAGGCAGCCGATCAATGATTCTCTCATCATTGATGTTTCTCTCTCTCTCCTCCCCTTCTCTCTGAAATCAATAAAAACATGTTAAAGAAACAGAAAAAAAAAAAGAAAAGAACAGGACCTAACATAAAGGGCTGCCACTGGGCCAGCGCCTCCCACCGGTGGTCTCCCACCTCCACTGAGAGTCACTGTGAGCCCTGGTAGGGGCCGCAATTGCGTTTGCTGCGTGCGGGGACAACGCTATGACCAAGACAGGCCCTGGCTCCAGAGTGTCTTTAACGCTCTCAGCAGCCTGGCCCCGGCGGACGCCGCACCCGCAGGTTCTCGATGGACCAAGCCCCGAACAGCTACGCCTCGTTGAACATTTCCAGGAACCTGTGAAGAAACTGCCAGCATTGCTCCAGCTCACAGAAAAGGAAGCCACGGGGTTGAGCAAGTTTCCCAAGGTCACAAAGCCACTTAAAACAGGGCAAGGACGTGACTCCAGGCAGGCCGGCTCCAGAGCGCGAGGCCTCCACTGCTATCTTTCCTTGCCACCTGAAGCGACAGTCATGTTCCCCCAGGTTACAGACCAATGCATCTCAACAGCACGGGGGGGCGGTTGCCCCCCGGGGGCAAATGTCTGGAGACATATTTGATTGTTGCAACTGGAGCCTTGCGACCGGCATCCAGTGGATAGAAACCAAGGATGTTGCTAAAGATCCTACAGTGCACAGGCCGGCTCCACAACAAAGTACTAACCGGCCCAATGTCAATACCACCGTCAATACCGCCGTCAATACCGCCGTGGCTGAGAAACCCCGTGGCAGACCAAGAAATTAAACCCAGCAGGTTAACGGGTTAAGGTGTTTCTTGGGGGCAGGCAAACTAAAGGCAGGTGTAGGCTCCACAGTCATCTGTCTCCCCAGGGGCTAGATTCCCACCTGCCCATGTCCATCCTCAAACTGCATCTTCCCTGGGGACTTCCTTGACCTATCATTCTCTGATCCTCTCACTAGACCCAAAGCAATCTTACCTCCACCCTCACCTCCATCCTCACTTCTAACCTCGCCTCCAACCTCACCTCTACCTCACCTCCACCCTCACCTCCACCCTCACCTCCACCCTCACCTCCAGCCAGTCTTTGTTGATGCGACTGAGAAGGAAGACCACATCTCCAGCTTTGAAATTCAGCTCCAGCTTGCTGTTCCCCGTGAAGTCAAACAGGGCCTGGGGAGAAGAGTGGAGGAAGGCGGGAGGAAGGAAACAGGCGCTGAGTTCCCACTAAAGTGCTTGCTTGGTGTCCCATTTAACAGGCGAGGAAGCTGAGGCTCGGAGCACGAGTGGCTTGTTGGAGGCCACTCCACTAGTTACCGGAGCAGCCGGGATTAGAACCCAGGTCTCCCGGACTCCAGAGTGGGTGCTCCTTCCACAGGTGTGGTGAGCACGGGAGGGAAGGAGCCAGTCTCCCTGGATCCAGCACCCTCCCTGCCCCCCAGGTCTGTGTGGGCTCCAGCGCCCCCGGAACCCGCAGGCACTGACCGCACTGGCTCTGAGACGCACGTGTTTATGTGTGTGTCCTCGGGGAGTCATGAGCCCCTGGAGGACAGGGCCTTGTCATCTCTGGGGTGTTAGTCCCCAGCAGGGCTGGCCCAGGGGGCCCGGGAAAGCTTGCTGAATGGGTGGTGGGACACTCTCTATGCTGCCTCTGTTGCTCATCGTGTCCCCTCCTCATAGCTGAGCCGGGGGCCTCAGTGACCAGTGACCAAGGCGGAGGCTGGGCCTTTCTTCCTGGCAGGACCCAGCCCCACCCTAGACACAAGCCACACCCAGCAGGAGGGCTCCCGCTGAGGGTGGAGCTGCCCAGAGGCGAAGTGGGGGGGGGCAGGCCCGCAGGTACCTCTGCTCTCGGAGCTGCCAAGCGGTCTAAGCCAGCGCCTTGCGGGGACTCGCTCTTGCTGCAGAGAGAGAAGAGGGGCTGTCAGCACTCCCGGTTCTCTGGGCCCAGCTCTCTGCTTCTGTGCCAGAGGCAGGTACAATCACTCCTGCGGGCCATCACTCACCCCCCTCTCCCTTCTTGCTGCCCCTGGAGGAGAGATTGGACCCCTTTGTGGACCAGGAAGCAGAGGCTAAGAAAGAAGGGGGGGGTGAGAGTGGGAACACAGCCACTTAGAGCCCGAACTTGCCAGACATCTCCCATTTGCCTTTCTTCTACTCCCCAACCTCTACAGTTATGTTATTATTCTAACTAGAGGCCCGGTGCATGACATTCGTGCACTTGGGGAGGGTGGTCCCTCAGCCCAGCCTGTGCCCTCTTGCGGTCTGGGAGCTCTCAGACATCCTTAGCACTGCCATGGAGGCAGGAGAGGCTCCCGCCACTGCCGCTGCTCTTGCCAGCGTGAGTTGGCTTCTGGCTGAGTGGTGCTCCCCCTGTGGGAGTGCACTGACCACCAGGGGGCAGCTCCTGCACTGAACACCTGCCCCCTGGTGGTCAGTGGGCACCATAGCAACCGGTTGTTCCACCGTTTGGTCAATTTGCATATTAGCCTTTTATTATATAGGCTGCTTCACCGAGGACACGGGCGTGGGGAGGGGACATGCCCTGCTCCAGGGCCCAGGGATGGGATTCAGCCTGTGGCCGTCTGGGGAGGTAGCTGGGCACTGAGGACACTCCCAGGTACTGGCTGGAGGCAGGAGGGAGGAGCTGGAGGCAGGGGTGCCTCCCCTGGCACCCTCAGCAGCAGCAGCCTCGCCTTGGGAAGCCCAGCCTGATTCAGTGGCTGATTTTCAATGATAATTTTCTGCAGGACAGAACTGGTCTCGGTTTCTTCCCTGCCTCCAGGGAAAAGAGGGGGGCAGAGCCCCTGGTTAGGAGGAAGTGGCCCTGGGCTCTGGTCCTGGGAGCGCGGGATGTCACTTACACCTTCCGGGTGCGTGGGCGGAGCCGGCGGAGCGCCTGGGGCACCTGCTCCGAGTCGTAGGGCGACTGATAGAAGAAGATTCGGACGTCCTCATCCATCAGCACCCAGATGGGCAGGCTGAGGAGGCTCTGTGTTTGGGCGAGATGTCGGACGAGACGGGAGGGTGGTCATCAGCAAGGCGTGCGCACCCCAGCCCCACGGCTCCATCCCTCCACCCACACTGCACCCCCTCTTCTCTGCCTGGTCACAGAAAAGAGGGAGATGTTAACCATTTCAATGGGCTCAGGTAACATTTCACAAAGAAGAGTTTGTTTGGAAAAGACCTCCAGGCTGGACAGTGCAAGTGATGCCAGGTCACAGGACACGGCGGTGCCTGTCCAGGCTCTGCTCTGAGAGCCCCACTGTATGACCTCACTCCATCTTACTGTCACCTGGGAGTTAGAGCCAGAAAGGTGCAGGGACCTGCCTGAGGCCACACAGCCCAGCAAGTGCCCAAGGGGGGCACTCAGGGCCATCTGCCACCAACGCCCATCCCTTAGCTCAAAATGAGACAACCGGGGAGAGGGAGGAGCAATTCCCCAAATGATCCAAAATAATAACAATTGGTGATATTATGGCCTAAAAAACACTTCCTATACCAGGGGTGGGCAACCTATGGCACACGTGCCAAACATGGCACGCCAGTAACTTTTGCTGGCACATGAAACCCTCTCTTATAATCTTCTATTTACAATTTTTTTCTTAATATCGACTTCTTTATTTTTCAGATAAATTCAGTGTAGGTGCATCTTAGATAAATAAATAATTTTACATAACAAGTTATCTTAAAGACCATAGACATGGATTGGCGAGAGAGGGGAAGAGCAATTTCTATGCCTCTGCCTTAAATCTCCCTGCCTTCCTAGATCCGACCAGTGCTTTGGTTTCATCCACATACGCTTGTGAATCTTTGTTCTCAGTGATGAATTTTGTTAAGTCTCGTAATAGGAGTAGCCTGATGGATGAAAGTAGTAGCTCGTGCATATCTCTGAAGGTCACGAAATACAAACCTGATGTAAAATCTCTGTCATCAGTGATGCAGCAGCAAAAGTCCCACTGATAATGTCAAACAGAGCCATAAAGTTTTCTGTCAGACTGTCAGTGTACATGTATACATTAAAAAATGAATGTATTTTTCATCGTCATATACTGTGTTTTTGTCGCTCGAATGAATTTTATTATTTCTTCAAGGTTCTTCACGTATGTACACCTTAAGAGATATCAAGTAGGCGTAACATGCTCTCAAAAGATTAGGGTTGGCACGCAGAAGAATTTTGAGTCAGAGATTTTGCTGGTTTTGGCACGCACTCACAAAAAGTTTGCCCACCCCTGTCCTATACTTTATCATATATCACAATTGGGGAAACTGAGGTGCAGAGAGGGACAGTGCCTGGCCCAGTTGGCAGAGCTAGGAAGTGGTGGGGTCAGGACTCTCACTCAATCTGAGGCTGGGAGCACCACCACGATGCAGACCATGAGGTGTGAGGACCCAGGACCGCACAGGCCCCCAGGAGCTCTGTGCTTAGCTCTGGGTGCTGAACCCCCACAGATGCGCAGAACCCAGACCTCCTCAGAGAATCTCATGGAGGCAGTGGGAGGAGGGGGACGGGGGTGTCAGGAACCCCATCCCTGAGGAACTGGGAGCACAGAGCCTGAGGAAGACACAGCTGTCCCAGAGGAGGGCTGGGGGGCAGCCCAGAGTTGGGTCTGAGCGCACAGACACTGAGCCAGGCTGCACCCAGATCTAATCCCGGCTCGGCCGCTCACCAGCGGGGTGACTCTGGGCCTCCATGTGCTCATTAATAACATGGGGGTGATTCCAGCATCTCCCTCCTGGGATTGTGTGAGGATCAAATAAAAGGATTACCCCACAGAACCCCATCCGGAAATCTAGCAAGTGACCCGTCCAAGTGAGATCTCACCAATGTTGCTGTTATTTTCATTGCGACACAGCACAGTGGGTAAGAGCACAACTAGAGTCTCAGAGATGTGAGTTCAAATCCCATCCCTCCTACCTCCCTGCTCTGTGACACTGAGTGAGTGACTACCTCTCTGTGCCTCCCTCCCTCATTTTAAAATAAGGTTAATAGTATCTAATGCACAACTCACTGAGGGAAGCAAATAAGCCCATTCCTCTTTCTGCCGAATGCATACCAAGAGCCCCCCTGTCGCTAGTCAAAGTGCTCACATAGTTCCAGGCCGTTGTCACCATCACGTGACCCACATTCTCCATCAGGAGACCAGTGTGAGGAGGGACTCAGGCTCTCCTAAGAGCTGTCCAACAGTGGGACAAGCAGCCTGGGTCAGGGGAGAGTGGTAGTGAGCTTCCCATCTTCGCAAGTGTGCAAGCACAGGATGGGGTCACCCCAGCAGAGCTTCCTGCACTGACTGAGCTCTGGGCTTCGAGGAATCAAACTGGACACCGCGAGGCAGGGATGGGGTCCTCCGGGCTGCTGGCTGCAGAGACCAGCTGGGGTGCAGGCTCCCAGCTCTGCAGCCTCTTCCCCTCCCTCAGAGCACAGTCACCTCTCCCAGGTCTTTGAGTGGAGGGTGGGCCTTCCAGACACCCTGGAGGAGCAGCTGCCAACCGCTCCCCCTGGAGGGGAGATGCCTACACCGCTGGTTCCCTAGCCACCAGAGAGGGCAGGTGGGCCATCTACCCCTCCTCCCATCTCCACAGTCCTTCTACCCTCACTCCTCGGGGAGTCATGATCTCAGTTTCCAAAGCACCTTCATGCCCTTTTCTCAATGGATCCCCATGCCACCCCTAGGAGACCTGGAGGCGCTGCCGCATTTCATAAGCGGGAAACCCAGGGCCCAGCGAGGATGGGCAACTCACCCCAAATCTCCGAGACAGTCGATGTCTGAGCAAAGACTACAGCGACCCTAGCTCAGTGCTCTTCAGCCGTGAGAGCGGGGAGGAGGGTGAGCGTGCCTCTGGGCTATGAGGACGCTTCCTTCTCCAGTTTCCTGCAGCTGCCATCCCGCATGGCTTGTATGCCTCCAGTGACAGCGTGCTCACTACCACATGGGGAACATGGCTCCTTTCTTGCCTAGCTCCGTTCCATGAAAGGCCTTCCCACACCAGCCTGGTCTCTGCCTTTAAGAGGCCCCTTCCCCTGCCTCCCCATCGCCCAGGGATGCGGACAGTGTATAGGTTGGGGAATAAACAAGGGCACCCAGCCAAGGCCCCTGAATGACACTAACTGCAGCCCGGGCCCTGGCAAGGGGCCCTTCCTCCCGTTCGCACAAAGATGCCGTGTGAGGGAGCTGGGCCCTGGCCCCTCGTGCCCCGGGGTGGAGGCCAAGCCACCTGCCCATGTTCCACTGGGCAGTGAGCACCTCGGAGGCAGGCAGCGGGCCCCAGTCACCTTGGTATCAGAACCCCCACACAGGCACTGTATTGGTCAGTTCAAAGTGTGGCTCCTTGTACGTCTCCCTTGCTCCGGCGCCATCCCCACCCCCTGGAGCCCTGAGGGCCAGGCCTTTAAGGATTGGAGATGTGGCTCATCAGAGCCAGAGAACCAGCCCCAGTTCCCAAAGCTGTGCTCAGAGATGGCACCTGGGCCCCCCCCACCCCTCCCAGGTGCCAGGGTGCGTGGCCCCGCCGTTACCTTCATGTAAGCGTTCAGGGCAGGTATCCGCATCTCGGCGATCTCCTGCTTCACACCCATGTAGACTTTGGCTGAGGAGAGACGAAGAGCGGTGGGTCCTGGGGGCCCAGGCCAAGCACCGGATCTCTGGGCTCCTCCCCACGGGTCGAGGTCCCTCCCCTCATCTTTCCAGGCGCGGAAGTGGCCGCTCTGTACCACCCCACCGTCCAACTCGCATTCTCCGAGTCACAGGATCACCGGCTGGTACTTGGCTTGTGTTAATTGCGTATGTGTTACCTGGCTGCCCCCACCACACACACACACACACACACACACACACACACACACACACACACACGCATACACACATACGCACACACACACATGCACGCATACGCATACACACACATACGCACACACATACACACATATACGCACATGCATGCATACACACATACATGCATATACACACATACACACACACACACACACGCACACACACACGCTCACGGCTGTGTCCCCATCACCTAGGAGAGGGGCCCTCATCTCTGCTGCACATCCAGCCGCCGGTCAGAAACCTCACTGTGCTGGACTCACCCCAGAGCCATTGGGTCAGAATCCCTGGGGCAGGGCCCGGGCAATAGGAATTTTAAATCTCAAGTGACTTCCAATATGCCGCCAAGATTAAGGACCACCCGTCCAGAATGTTCCCCAAATCAGCACATATTTGCTGAGCGGATGAATGAATCCTTCTTCAAAGGCGAGACCGAGTGTCTGGGGGGAGAGGGACACAAACGTCCCCTCTAGGAGCCGCCCGTGGGGCCATAGGGCCCCGTCCCGGGGGGTGGGGGGTGCCCAGAAGGGAGCCCCGGGTCTAAAGGAGACCCTGGAGGAGCAGCAGTGAGGTAGGAAGGAACTGGAAGACGCTGGGGCCACGGAAGTTTGGAGAGAGCTTCCTGGAAGAGGAGGCAAGACCATAAAGACGAGGCCTGAGAGGCGTCCGTGTCCACCGAAGTCAGAGTGAACCGGCCGCAGGCCACCATCCGAAGGGAACTCAGTGGAACAGGAAGAGCGGAGGCCGAGGCTGTGGGCTGAGCAGCGGGTGGGCCATGGGAAGGGGAGGCAGCGAGCGAGGAGTTATTGTAAAAGGAAGAAGAGCCCTGACCAGTTTGGCTCAGTGGATAGAGCGTTGGCCTGCGGACTCAGGGGTCCCGGGTTCAATTCCGGCCAAGGGCATGTGCCTTGGTTGAGGGCGCATCCCTGGTGGGGAGTGTGCAGGAGGCAGCTGATCGATGTTTCTCTCTCATCGATGTTTCTGACTCTCTGTCCCTCTCCCTTCCTCTCTGTGAAAAATCAATAAAATATATTAAAAAAAAAAAAAGGAAGAAGAGATCCTTGAGGGGTTTGGGATCAAGGAGGCTGTTGCAAGAACGCTCACCCACGGCTCCTGTTTGTGTAGAGATGGAAGAGGTGAGCCTGGGTGGGAGCTTGGTGGAGTCGAGACACAAAGAAGGTGAGGGTACAGGGCACATGCGGACAGGCTGCCTGGGGAGACCCTCTGGGAGCAGGAGGGACCCCGCTTTCCTCTGCAGCCCAGAGAGGGGAAGAGGCAGGAGCAAGCAAGTCCAACTCCAAAGGCGGAAAGAGAAGCCGGAGTCCCTGGGGTTGGCTGCAGCCCCTCCCGGAGCTGGCGGGGAGGAACTGCGGGCATTTGTAGACAGAGAGGAAGCAGGAGCTAGTAGGGGTGGGATTGTGCTCGAAGAAGGAAAGGACCCGAAGGGCTCTGTCTTTGGGGGAGAGACGCTTGTGTGTGGCCTGCAGGGCGTGCAGGGTCCCCCAGGACCACGTGGGTGGGGATTTCTCTTGCAGGCTCAACGGGGCAGGAACTGAGAAGTCGCAGAGCTGGGAGGGAGAAGGTGGACATGGCTTTGTCCTCGGCCAGGGGCCAGCTCTGCCCACAGCAGGCCTGGGAGCGGCCGGCCTACCTGGGAGGGCGGGCAGGTTGCAGGTGAGGGGGCTGGTCTTGCTCTCGGGCCCGTACCGCTCCTCCAGCTTGCTCTGCAAGGCGTGGAACTGGCGGTAGCGGCGGTAGATGAGGTACTTGGATCCCCCTTTCGTCTTCACCTCGATGACGAAAACCTAGGACAGAGGCCAGGGGGTAGGACCTCGGAGGCCAGGGGCCGGGGGGAGCGGCTCCGGGCTCCCAGGGTTACAGCAGGGATTCTTGGTCGCGGGCCGTCCTGTGCACGGCGGCGTGTGGGGCAGCATCCCCGACCTCCACCCCCTGGGTGCCAGTAGCACCCCCACCCCACGTGGTAACAATAAGCATGCCCGAGGGTACCGACTGCCACATGCCCCCTGAGGGCAGAACCGCCCTGCCGAGGACCGCTGGGTGGAAGGTAAGAGACAGGAGAGTTGAAGGTTCTGAGGGCAGAGGTCAGAGGTCAGAGGGTGAAGGTCCAGGGGTCTCTCTTACAAAGTGGCTGGTGAAGCCCCTCTTCTCCTCGATGTCAGCGATGTTGGCTGAGATGGCCACGTCGTCGGGAAGCTGCTCGAAGTCGCTGAGGAAGAAAAGGAGCCTGTCAGCCGCCCGATCGGTTCAGGAGCCACTGGGTGTGAGGCAGCGTGCAAAGCGGCTGGGTGAGTCCGCACTCCTCGTTCAGCACCCGTTCCTGGCCGGGCCACCACGGCACCCCTCCTGGGCCACCATGGCACCCCTCCCGGGCCGGGCCCCACGGCACCCCCTCCCGGGCCAGGCCCCACGGCACCCCCTCCCGGGCCAGGCCCCACGGCACCCCTTCCGGGCCGAGCCACCACACAGACCAGTCCTTGGGGGTGAGGGCCTCTGGAGATGGGACATGTACCCACGGCCAAGTTAAAATCTAACAAATCACTTTGCGGTTACCTGACCCACCCAGGACCAGCCCATCAAGTACCTCCCGTATCCAACCCTGTTCTCTGTCCCGGTCACAGCGGTGAGCAGAGGAGCATATGCCTCAGAGAGAGAAGGGCTTGTCATGCCCAGGTTGGGGAAATGTCACAGAGGAGGGGACATTTGAGCAAGGTCTACACAGACCTAGAATCCACCAGGCAGAGGGAACAGCATATGCTAAGGTTCTGAGGCCTGAGGATTGGGCCCAGGTCAACTGTGGCTGGAGTCCGATGTCATCAGGGCTGAGCAGGCAGCTGAGGCCAGGCCGAGGAGGGTCCCCAGTGCCGAGCTGAGGGAGTTCTACAGGCGCTAGGGAGCCAGCACGGCCTCGGAAGGGAGTGAAAACAGTATGATCTGGCTTTAGGAGGCCGACTCAGGCAGCCGTGTGGAGGAGACAGGAGATCAGAGACTGGAAGGGATAGAGCACCACTGGGAGGCTCTGAAGTGCCCTGACTGGGAGGTGATGTGACAGCGGGGACAGGAGGGAAAGACAGAAACAGGAGATACCACTCTTGGCCGACAGACACGGTTTCATTTGTTGTGTCCCTTGTTCCTCACTACTGACCAGGTTCCGGTTTTGTTCAAGGTGGCAATGTGCCCAGCTCCAAGGTGACAGGTCATGATTGGGCTGAGCCAAACGTACAGATCCCATTCCTGTCTGCCAGACTCCCTTGCAGCTAGGAGCAGCCCTGTGACAAGTTTTGGCCAATGAGACCTAAGAGAGGCTCTGTGGCAGGGGCCTGTTGGAGAGTGTTTGCTTTCCTGACCCAGAGAGAGGGGCAAGGCCGGCATGGTCTCCTCCTTTTCTCCCTCCGGCCTGCCTTGAAGGCAGGTGTGACGTCTGGACCTGCAGCAGCTACATTGCATCCACGGGGCAAAAACATGAGGGATGCCAACGGGATCTCTGAGATGCTGGTCCTGGAGTCACTGAGCTGCAGAACCCGCTGCGAACCTCTGTGCTTCTTGTTATTAAAGAAATAAATAAGTGACCCCCCATTTGTTTCAGCTGCTACCCGTTTCTCTGTTCGCTGCAGCCTTCTGCATTTCCAGTGGACACACCACCCATTTGCCCGTCATTCCTGAGTTGTGACCAGCAGGGCTTGGGGACTGTTTGGACGTGGAGATGAAAGAAACAGCAGTGTCAACAGTGACACCCACATGTCACCCATATCCTGACCAGGATGGTGGGAGGGGAGCAGCGCTGATGGACTCCGTTTCGGGCATGCTCATTTGAGAGGCCTCTTGGGCACCCAGGTCAGGGTCCAGCAAGAGCTGGTGTGTGACTCTGGAGCTGGGTTGGGGGCATCTCAGCTGCAGAGGGAGAGGTGAGGACCTCGGCGACTGTGGCTAAGACCCTCAGCGAAGAGCAGTGTGCAGGGGGAGGGGCTGAGAGGAACAGGGGGAGGGAGAGCAGCCAGCCAGCGGAGGCGTGGACAGATGAGGAAACTAGAAGCAATTGTGACTCTGCTATGGTAGCAATTGGGAAACAGGGGAGGAGCCGGGGGCAGGGGCTGCACCTCCAAAGCCTCAGAGCTGACCAGGACTTCAGGAGAAACGATTTCAAAGTCTGCACACCCAGGCCCAGCCACTGCTGGTTCCCAGGTGACTGGGCTGCTTGGCATCTCAGGCTACCTCAGGACAGGACGCAGGAGGCTGCCATGGGGCGGAGTGGGGGGGGGGGTGTCTCAGGGGGGCAGTGGGCAGGCAGAGGAAATCCCCTCCACTCCCAGAGTCACTTGTGGCCACTGGCAGCCTCCCCACTCACTTTCCACACATGCCCTGTGGTGACACCCTTGGGAGAAACTTCCTCCTCCGCACGCTCCCCTGAGGCTGTGCCTCTCGTGGGTGTTTCATCTCAGTGGCTGGGGGTGGGCAGGAAGGAACCGGAGGGGTGAAAACGGCCGCGGGCAGGGAATTGGGCAGGTTGGGCAAGAGTAACCACGGCTGACATTTCCTGAGCCCCCTCCAGGCGCTCTTCTAAGACAGGGTCCCCGTGCTACAGCCAAGGAAACTGAGGCACAGAGAGGCTGACAAGCTTGCCCAAGAGGCAGGGCTGTCCCTGGTTTGAAGATGAACTCAGATCAATCCCAGCCCTGCCGAGCCTCAGGCTCCCCATCTGAAGTAACAATAGGAGCAAGCCCCTGGAGTCATCCCCGCAGCTCAGAGGTTCTGAGCACATCGGACCGGCCTCTGCCTGCCTGGGCCTCACAATGTCAGAACCCCATGGGCAGAGGTGCAGCAGGAGCCTGGCCGTTAGTCCGTCCCTCCGAGAGTCAGTGTGCGGCGGGCAAGCAGCCGCTTCTAGGAGGGGGGCCACCCATCAGGAGAAAAGCAGGGCATGGTGCAAGGATGGGGGCCCGTGGACCTGAGGGCTGAGGAGGAATTCTTCCCGGAAGCCTCCTTGGCCAGCACAAAAAGAAAGAGAAACTGACCACAGCGTGGCAGGCAGGGGGAGCACTGAGAGCCAAAGGCCCTGGCCCGGCGAGCGGGCAAGTTCAAGGATCCGCAGTGGGGGGAGGGGGGGTCTTCTGAGTGCACCTGAGCACAGAGCTGGTGGGAGAAGCAATGAGAGAGGAAGCAGGTGCGGCCAGCAGGGCCCACTGCCGAAGGGCCCATGTGTCTTGCCCCGGGTGGTGGGGGTGAAGGAGATGCCATGACAGGAGGGCATCAGCCTGTCTGTGCATACCCAGGGCAGGAGGGCACAGACAGAAGAGGGAGACCCGAACCCCAGTACCCTAGGACTCCTCTCTGTGCTCTGGCTCCTCCCCCCTCTGTAAAATGGGGGTCATAAGTGCACATACATCACAGGAGAGTCAGGAGGCCACACTAGAGAACCCCCATGAGAGCAGGGACCTTGCCCACTCTGCATCCCTAGCGCTCAGAGCTGCAGTGGGCACACAGTAGGTGCTCAACAAGGGCCCCTCTCTGTGTCTGTGCTTGAGCAAGTCCTCCGGTGGGCGGGGCCGGGATGGTCTGACTGCCTGCGGAGCAGAGCCGGGAAGCTGCCGGGGAGGGGGCGGGTGGTGTGCAGCAACCCCAGCTGGATGTGCCCCTAAAATAACCATTCCCCCGGAGGCCTCAGCCAGGACCCCTCAGAGCTGAAGTCAAGTGAGAGCCCCCTCGGCCCAGGATGCTCAGGGCCCATACACACGCGTGCTGTTCACGCAAAGTCCACTCAGGAGCCTGGACAGGCGAGGCCGAAGGTTGGAAAGACCCTTGGGCGGCAGCCAGTTTAAGGTTTGTGGTTCCTGCACACAGTAGGTACTCAAAACACGTTTGCTGGAACTAAACTCACTGCCCTCGCTTAGCCCTTTCCATCTTCGGACAGCTCGGGCCTTAGAGAGTCCCGCTGGGGGACTCTGTCGCCCGGCCATTGGACCCTCTGCCTAGCCCTCGAGCAGAACGCCCGCGGGTCCCACTCTCAAACAAGGCCTCGGGGCAGGGAAGCCGGTGGCTCCGGGGCTGGGGCGGCACCATCCTCTCGGGCCACGGGCAGCTGAACAGGGGCAGGGAGCCATGTCTCTGACCCACGTACCCTGAGGAATGGGAAGTGCCACCGCCTCCAACAGCAGCTGTTTCCTGAAGGCTCGAGTTTGCGTGTGAGGCCCAGTCTCCAAGGAGAACTTGTGGGGAAGTGGGGCTGGGGTCTGGGGGGATGACCTCACCCCAGCGCCCAGACCAGCTCTGTGGCTCACCAAGGCCATTATTGATCCGCCCTGTAAACACCAGCCTCTCCTGCCCCGCCCTCGGCACACAGGCAGACAAGCTTTCCTTCCGCCATCCAAACCCGGAGACCGCCCCCCCCCCCCCCCCCCCCGCCAGGTTCCATTTCCGGCCTGATGCCCCCATGGCCCTTTGCTGCCCACTGCAGCCCACACCATCCTGGCGCATCTCCGGCGACCCTCGGAGTCACCTCCTCAGAGTCTGCACGCTCTTTTTCTGATGTCACCTGCTGTTCCAGGAGGACAGGAGCCAAGCCCAGGGTCCTCAGACCCCCCACAGTTTGGATCACAGGCTGGAAACATTCAGAAAATGCTGCTATAGGTGAACCCAAGCGCTGGTGAGGCTGTGCTCCAAGCCCAGGCCTTGCCAGTGACTCCCTGTGCCCCAAGTAAGTTCTCTCTCCTCCTTGGGCCTCGGTTTTCTCATCTGTACAATGACAGGACTGGACCAGAAGGACCTGAGAACATTTTCCAACTCAAAGGTCCACTCATTCATTCATTCAGCATAGCTCGTACCAGCATTGTTCTACTTTCTAGGGATACAGCAGTGACCAAAAGTGACAAATACCGCACCCTCGTCAAACTCGCTTCTAAAGGGGGAGCCAGTGGTCAAGAAAACAAATGAGTTCGAATAGCATTGCAGTAATATGAAGACGGTACAGAAAAAGAAAGCAGGGCAAGGGGTCAAAGAACAGAGATGGGGCAGTCAGGGAAGGCTTCTGGGAGGAGGTGGCATTTGAGCCAAGCCCTGGATAAGGAGGGAGGACAAGCCAGATTCTGTGTTCTGTTTGAATAAAAGATGAAAAACCATTGCTGACCACAGTGTGGAGCAGTGAGCCCAGCCTGGGAGACAGATCACCTGAGTCCCCACCCGGACCCTGCCACCCACTCCCGTGTGACTCTGGGGAAGTCACTGCTCATCTCTGAGCCTCAAGTCTTCATCTGTGCTTGCGGGAGGTGAAACCGCAGCCCAGTTTCCTTAAAACAGTTCCAAGACTCTACATTTCTGAGTATTTAGGTTCTGACTCAACTCCGCCTCTCAACTTTTGCTATTATTAAGTGGCTGCAGGAGGCCGACCTCTGTCCCCGGGCCTGCTGGGAACAGTGAGGAGGCCTAGCTAGGGCAGCACCCTGCACTCACCTCTCAGCCCGCAGCTGCTGGGCCACGGCCATGGCCGTCAGGGGTCCAGGAGAGTGGGAGGCGGAGGGTCTCACCCAGCCAGGCCCAGACTGAGTTCGCCTTTCACTTCCCTCCAGCCACCCTGCATCTGGGCTGTGGTCCCAGGAGTCCCAGGGAGCCGCCTGTGGGGAGGCCCCACCCCCGCTTCTCTCAGCTCTAGCACAGGCCCCTCCTTCAGGCTCTGGGTCTGGCCAGTGGCCCATGCTTCCTCTTCCCCACCTCCCAGCTGTGCTGATTTGGGGAAACGCACACCCCCAGATGCCAGGTTTCCAGGAGGCCACTGATTTGGGGCCTTTGGGAACTTCCTCGAGGCCAGTTCTTGCTGCCAGGCCTCAGGTGGGCATGAGAGAGCCCCACTCCATCAGAGACAGGGTCTCAGGGCTGGCTTAGTCACTACAGGCCCTGTGACCTTGGGGAGTCACTCCTCCTCCTCAGCCTCATCAAGCCAAACCCATGCACCCAAGTGATTCCCTGGGCCTGGAGTGCTGGCCTCTACCATGCCCGCCATCCCTCAAGCCCTGCTCAAATGCCACCTCCTTCAGGAAGCCCCCCCTGGTTTCCCCAACAGAGTTAGTGCTCACGGGCCCCTCTGTCATACTAGACTGTGGAGGTTGGTTTATGTTTCTGTCTTCCTCTGCCCCTGGAGCTCCAGGCTATATTTCCTCATCCCTAGAGCCTCGGGCCTACGCAGGCCTGGCACGACCCATCCTCTGCAGGGCTGCCACCCCGAGTGAGCCCCTGACGCACACCCGATCACACCCTTCCCTGCCAGGACCCTTCAGCTGCTCGCCCTGCACTAGGAGTCCACACTCCCAGCCCTGCTCCCTCTGCAGCGCTGAAGGTCCCGCTGGCTTCGCTGGCCCCTCTCCCAGCCGTGTCCTTCCCACAATGGCCTCCATTCCCTTTCGAGAAGGCTCCAAGATGCCTGCCCCTCAGGGCCGTCGTGCATGCCGTTCCGCTGCTGGAACGCCCCTCCCTGCTCCTTTAAGGCTCGATTTGGAAGTCGCCTCTTTAGCAAGGCCTTCCCCACCCCTCACCCTGAATGAAGACCGCCCTGTGACGTTCTCTCCCAGATCCCGGTCCTTCCACTTCAGAGCAGCTGGAACCCGCTGTCGTTTCGTATTTGTCTGCACACTTATATGTTTAATGACTGCCCGCCGGCTCGCCCAGTGTCCGCACAGGGCAAGCGCTCCACCGACGTTCTGAAGGGAGCTCGCCGAGAAGGCCACGGCCACACCCGCCTCCCAGCCTGTCACACCCGCTCACACTCAGGCCGCACGGCAGATGCGCAGCAGGACCACGAGAGGACATCGGCGAGGACGCGGACCTGCCTGGGCGCCCGTGGATCACAGAAGGGGCCCTTCTGGCTCGTGCTGCCTTCGGACCCCCAGGACCGGGACACAGGTGTCCGGGTCAACGCCAGCGGGTGGAGCCTGGAGCCAGGGTCTCCCACTGCGGGCCCTTTGTCATTTCCCCGACAAAGGGCCTGAGGACAGGCGCCACCCTCGGGACCCCGAGGACTGTCTGGCTCCAAGAATGGAGAGCAGCTGGCAGCCTCAGGCCTTTGTCTGCACCCCGTCTCTGCTCCACCCAGGCACCCCAAGGGGCCTGCTGCCCCAAACAGAGTCCGGGCAGAGCACAGTGCCGGAGGAAGCGTGCTCTGGGCCCAGCCCTGCAGGCCCGACTGCAGAGCAGTCCCTCTCCTCCCCGGGCCGGCCAGGGCCCAGGGCTCTGGAACCAGGTCCTTATGGACGCCTTGGGAGGTAAGGGCAGAGCTGGGCAGAGACAGAGGAGAGGATCATAAAGGAGAAGAAGGGAGAGAGATGCTCAACCAACTATGTACTGAGCAGGGCACATGGAATACAGAGATAAGTCAAGATGGCAGGGTAAACACAAGGTGACATTTCCCATCCCCCTCCAGCCACATAAAATACGCAGCATAATATATTTTTAAGTATTTTAAACATATAGCATCTGGCTCATAAGCAAATATATATATATATGAAATTCAGGCTCTAAGAGAGGAGGAAACCATACCAGTGAGAGGCTGCTGCCGAACACCCCGTGGGAAAACCAAGGCTCTTGGGGTCGAGATTTCCATGCTAATCGGAGTCTGGGTCCAGGCGATGGTCCTGGCGTTGGTAGGAAGCCGGGTGTCAGAACCGATTAGAGGGACAGAATCTCTCCACCATCAGCCTGGGTCGCTGCAGGAATTGAGGTGCTCTCTCCCAGCCATGGGTGGATTGAGGATTAGACACACCAGGTCAGAGCGTTGTCGAGCCTGAAACATGCGCTCATGTGAGCCCCGGATCTGAGCTCTCCGGTTGGCGTAGAACTCCAAAACTGAGAGAGATATCAACACAGCCTGCAGTCCACGAGCCTGTGCGGGCACGCAACCCTGAGCTACCCACCACGCGGAGAACACCTATGCGGTGAGCCCAGCTTGTAGGCTCAACGTGCGAAATGAAGAGTTCATACCTGAAGAGCTAGAAATAATACAGACAACGACTCCAGCTCAGTCACTGTGGTCTCAGGCTGCCAGTCTGAGGAGGAGGAGGCAACCCAATCTGGAGGAGGAGGCAACCCAATGAGCAGCAACAGGAGGGCTGAGCGTGGCAGATGCAGCAGGTAAGTACCCAGAGGTGTAAGCACCTCCCATGGCCAGCGACATGGAGGCGCTAGTTCAAAGTGGGTCAGGATGACAGGAAGCGACACCACATTTTGCAAACAAGTGCGATCCAGCCTGGCATGTGGTTGTGTGTATTATCCTATGTGTATGGTTGCAAACGAGTGTTGGTGTTCATAAATGTCGACGTAGGAAACATCCAAACCTGTGGGGAGTTTTTATAGTTCATTTGAGCCAAACTGCTGACAATCTCTAGGAAGCAACATCTCAAAAGACTGAGAAAATGCCCATGGCAGTTTTGCAGCTTATTTTGTACATTAGGATAACAGGGGAAGGCGTAAGGGGTTACGTGAAATCCATGGGTGATAGATTAGGGAGGTGGGAGGAAGCAAAGGGGGGAAATCGCTGGCATTGGATAAAAAGTAAAATGGAGAGACATATACCTCTTTTACAGTGGTGGGTACAAGACAGCTAGTAATTAACATTAACAGCACACAGAGATGGTATTTGGGGAACAAAATAACAATGAGGGGTCCTGTGGCCTGTACTCTGAGGGGTGGAAAAGGAGATTACTCTGACATTTCAAAGGTCTGTTATCTTGCCCTGGCTGGTTTGGCTCAGTGGATAGAGCATCAGCCTGCGGACTGAAGGGTCCCGGGTTCAAATCCAGTCAAGGGCACATGCTTGGGTTGCGGGCTTGATCCCCAGTAGGGGGTGTGCAGGAGGCAGCTGATCAATGATTCTCTCTCATCATTGATGTTTCTATCTCTCTTTCCCTCTCCCTTCCTCTATGAAGTCAATAAAAATATATATAAAAAACAAAATTATGTTATCGTAGATGCGAAAAGACAGCAGACAGGCTCACTTAAGGTCAAGATGGACCTTTGTGAGGGAAGCTACTATGGGCCTAGGGTGTGACTCCCGTTAGGAATTGGTTTGTTCGGACCATGCTATGTGGTCCGAACAAACCAATTTTATACATTAGGATAACAGGGGAAGGCGTAAGGGGTTACGTGAAATCCATGGGTGATAGATTAGGGAGGTTTGAGAGACATATCAACATAGCCTGGAGTCCACGAGCCTGCGCCTCCGTGTCGCTCTGAGTTTGTAGGTCCCACCATGTAGGCCTGCCCTGAGCTTGTTGGGTTCAGTATGGGGCCCCTTTTTGTCCACAGTAACATACAAATGAAGACACACAACTGTGTGGGCAAGTGTGGGTGTGTGTCCAGTGGTGACTGTGAGTGTGAGAGGACATTTAGATGCTCAGGTCTCAGTGGGTGCACAGTGAGCATAAACATGAGTGCGTTTATGCCACGTGCACTCGTGTAACCACACAGCCAAGGGGTCCGGGCTGCCTGGCACGACTGGAGCCAGTTCAGCAGAGACAGGGTGGAATCACATGAGCGTTTGTTCCCATGCTGCCGGCAGGATGGGAGAGCAGCAGGCCACCCACAACATGTGCTCTGCCTCTCCCCATAGGCCAGCTGCTTACATTGGGCAGAAGGACAAAGACTACATGGGGAAGTAGGCAAATGGGTAAGCCAAATGGGCAGTTCACAGCCAATCCAGGCTGAGATTTGCAAAGGCCTGCGTGCATGCAAAGGCTGGGGGTCCTCAAAGGGCTGGTGAATCTGGTTTCTGTGACAAGGCTGTTCATCTCTCCATAATGGGCAGCTCCCGGATGGAGAGGATGGGCTGCGTGTCCAGGTGAGCTCCCAGGTCCCACATGCAACCCCCAGCCAGCTTAGAATGTGCCTCCTTTAATCAGAACAAAACAATCAGAGTTAAGAGCTCATGATTAGTATTTCTTGCAATTATGGCTGGTCCCCAGTATTTTATTTCTGCCCCTAACACTCAGACAAGCTCATAAGTCCTTCCGACCCCATGTTTACTTATCTGTGAAACAGGCTTACCAAATGGGGCTGTAGTGACAATTCATGAGGAAAATGCATGAAAAGTGCACGGACACGTGGAGTTTCTTATTCTTGTTTACAGTGTCACTGTGTGTGCTTGTGCGTGTGTGCATGTGTGTGTGCATGTGCGTGTGTGTGTGCTGGGTAGGGCACGCCCTCAAGTTCGTCTTCCCAGGCTTCTCTAAGTCTTGTCTTCGCCTTGACCCCAGGAAGCCTCCCATGGCCCTGACTCAGCCACACTGGGGCTGCCTCCTAAGTGTGCAGAGGAGGTTGTCCAGGGGAAGGCCCAGGGCCTTCCCCCACCCCACCCCACCCCACCCTTCCTCTCCCTCCCTTCTGTCCCCTCCATGGTTCTGCTGAATTGGGTATTTCTCTGGCTCCTCATACACAGAACACCGCTGCTAATTTTATGCCTGGGCTCTGAGACGGTGTAATTTGAGGCCAGACACTCAGTCAGCAGTGGGCTCCCATCCTGCTGCTACTGCTGCTGCGGTTCCCGTGTCTCCCCCACCCCCACCCCACCCCCACCCCCACCCCACCCGGGCGGAGGAGACCGACTCTTCACACCTTCCCTTGAGCAGCAGGAAATGCCT